ATTGACATAAAGAAGAACAATCATAACCACACATTAATTGTATACATGTAAGGACTGCAGTAAAAACAAAACATATCTGCACTTACTTACAAACAACAACTAAGAATGGAACAAATGAGTCTTGAGCTATCGCTTAAATGTTTTAGGATTTGTTATGTCTCTGATATCCTGGGGTAAGGAGTTCCAGATTTTAGGGCCACAAAATGAGAAACCTGTCTCAACAAAAGACCTTAATTTCATTCTCGATGCTCTGAATTTTGTTGCGTCTGTGCTGTGGATGACAGTAACTGACTACAACACTTCATCATGCTGCCTGGAAGAGACAAGAGAGAGATTACTTTGCTGGACCTGTGTCACCACAATTAAAATGTCAGCAAGATTTATTTTGGAAACGAACTTTTTTATAGGCTCAAAGTCAAAAAAGCTTACTACACTTTTGACCAACACTGCAATGTAACTACTTTATTTTTTTTATATTATTGGGAGCAGACGGACCTCAAAGATAAGATTTTAAAGAGGGCACCAAAGCCTCAAAAGGAGAAAACTAGATAACCGCAATTGAAAGAGATGCTTTGCTAACATATTTTCCACTTCACCTAACGTTTTATTAAACTGAAATAAGATCTCCTTTTCAAATCCTAAATGACGCACTTTCATAGTCTTTGACTCCATGGAAACCTTGACGGCAAAAATTTTTTTTCAGAGGAAAATTGTTGAGCGCTGGTTGTCAAGCGGAACAAATAATGTTTTCCTATTGTATGATTTTCTTTTCTTTTAACAGTTTTTTCTCAGTCTGTAACTTTAAAGAACAAAACCTCGATAGAAGACTTTATGAATAACTTTCGACTGGCGTGACCACCGACATTTTAAAGTGTGTGGGAGGGTGATAAAAAGAGAGGGGGAGGGGGAGGGGAGGGGGTTTCGAAAAGCAAGACGGTCAAATGAGTATGAAAAGTGAACATTGCCTATTGTACAATATTGTGGCACTGTTAGACTATATGAAAGCTCTCTTTCAAGGCTTCTACTGGAGCTTTATTTTAAAAGACAGTATATTATTATCCAGCTCTGGACGAAATGGAGTTATCTGTTCCACATTATAGTTTACAATTTCTGTTTTAGTCTGGCATATATATATATATTTTTACAAATAAGGCGGAGAAAGAGTTTTAAACATGTTCAAAGCGACTGCATGGCTGTTAAGAGGCAAAGGTGTGTGTGTGTGTGTGTGTGTGTGTGTGTG